CGTTCAAGCATACAAAGATAGATTAATATACTATACACAAGGTACACAAGCTGCTCGAAACTCTTTATTAACAACAAAGGAATCCCTATTTTCTTCTTTTATTGAAAACCTGTAATCAAGGAGCGAATGGTGTATTCAGTTAATTAAGCAGTAAGTACCTACCTGGAAAACTGTAATCTAAATCAGTGGTTAGAAATATTGTAACTACCCGTAAATGGAAATTTCCATCGCTAATCAATATTAAATCTCGTTTTAATAGAGAAACACGGGTCTCTAAGCTTCACTTTTCATAAGGTACTTACTTATTATGTACTCATCCGTGTTTCTCTATTTTCATTGAAATGGAACGCGAAAGCTTAAAATCCTAAATCTCATTATATTTTCGGTTTGGTTGTAGAGCATTCTAATCAAATGTCTAGCTTAATACCATGTTATCGAACAAACAAATAACATTGCAATAATAATATTGTCCTACTGATAGCCATACGAGCAATACGAGCATACCCATGGGCAAAAGATAGCGACACACATTTTCCCTAACATTATGCAAACCACGCTAACTTATTTCGGCTGGGACGTAAATTAAATTGTACATTGAATATACGTAGATTGAAGTGAATACCTAGGTAGGTAATTAGCTAAAATTGTGTTGGTTTTGTTGAATGTTGGTATTGTAATGCAAACAGCTAGAGACTGGAATTCGTTGCCTGCTGCTGTCTTTCCCGAAAACTCTATAATCCGGGCCTTTTCAAGGTGAGAGTGAATAGGCACTTACAGGGCAGATATGTACCATCCTAGACTGCACCCCACTTAACGTCAGGTGCGATTGTGGTCAAATACCTGCCTTGTTATCCATAAAAAAATTGTGTTGTTTTGTGTTATTTCTGATCCTTTTAAATATCTACGTATCAAATTGTCTCCAAAAGGGAAAGAGACAAATACATAATATCATCATGATGAACATTCTGATGATGATTATTATTATAGAGACCTAATGACCTGACCTTTCATTAGGTCTCTACCGTAGGAGCACGACCCTCTGTTATGTACCAGAGACAATTAAATTAATGTTGATAGAGGATATCCAGATAAATCCAGAGATATATTTCTACCTTACATTAAGAAAATAATGCTAGCTCACACAATGAATAAATATTTTCGTATTATCACGGCCGTGACTGATTCTGGTGAAAGGTAACTGTGACATGCCTTTGTCTCCATAATTACTGTCACCAAAAGCTTATTGCCCTGGCTATAAATAATGAAGACAACGGTTAATTATTTTTATTTAATGTTAATACCTACCACCTCTATCTCTATTGACAATTGAAACAGTAATTCTATAAAGTCTGAAAAGCAAGCAAGCAGTATTGTTGGTCTGATCTGAATACTACCGCTTAAAGAGGCAATTTTTTCTGCACCATAATAATCTTTGAATAAAGTTTCACATAAAACTAAATCAGCCTATTATGTACAAGCAAATATGTGGGTAAATCGAAGGAAAGTCAGTTCAGATAAATTGTAACATTTCGTATTTCCTGTAACATCATGCGAAAACTCTCTCAACTTTGCTTCATTCACGTTGCCGCAATCTAAAAACCTCTTGTTCAGTCGAAATATTTTACAACTTTTCACGTTTTATCAAACCGTAGGTACAATTTTCGATTATAATTTAATAATGACATCAATCATAACGTTAATTAAAAAGTTACAAAGCAATTTTCGTTGTGCCGGTGTTTATCACTCACCTGAAATTTTCCAGTGAACTTTCACACAAAGACCTCGGCTTAGTACAAAACAGATTAGCCGTGTCGGCGAAATAAATCGTTTGCCGCCGATATCCATGCAAACAAAAGAAGGCGTACTTACCGAAATTTGGTTGAGAAAATCGGGAGTACTGGATCTGGGGCGGGCGCAACAGGCAGCTTAGGAGATACACACAGTTGGGTTTAGGAGCATTGTTTCACACAGATTAATTTTTCACTGGTCCTTGTACCGGTTAGGGGTGAAGGCTGGCGCGGCGTTCGGCCGGCCCGGTAGCGCGTTGGGGTCTGAGCCGAGCCGCCCGCCCCCGCCGCCCGCCCTCCGCGTGAGCCTTCGTTTAGTGTTCGCGCCCTTTGTGACACTTGAAACCGTTGTTCACAAATGAACCTTTTTGGCTACGCAAATATCACACAGACCGACAATGGTGTTGCTTTACTGCGCTTTTTGCTTTTTAAACAAAAACTGAATTAAATTTTTTTGACAACTTGATTAGCTTATGCAAATTGCAATGTGATATTGTTTAAGGAAAAATACAATAAGCGGAACCCCAAGTATTTTATTATAATATTTAAAAAAAGCGTTCTGCCATTTTTGAATCGATAAACTTTTCATTAGCAATATAAAATAGAGTCTTGATAGTTCTGAGAAGTTCTAATAAAAATAACTTCTGAGCTTAAGGCGGTTCTCTGAAGCGTCCTATTAATCACAGATAAGGGAAAAAATGGATGAAGTCGGATAAGTACCGATGGCTGATCGGAAGGGAGTAAGGACAAGCTTAACGAGGAAATGGATCTTACTATATCGATTCGGAGTAATTCAAAAATCATTTGCTTTCTTTCAAGGTTTCTTAGCATAATGCCATTGTAGCTTTTTAGCCTGATATGTATTCAAATATATTTGGAATCTCAATAGATAGGTATGTTTATTTTTTAGCAGTAAATGGGCAGCTACTTGTAAATAAACAGTTTTTATTTAAATACAATAACCACTACATTGCAACATTTTATTCGTGACACTTTTAGGTAATCAAATCATTAATTAAGATTAGAGAATGCATTCATTAATGGGAAACAAATTAAATTATTTTAGTAAGTATTAGTCCCAAACAGAAAGGCCGTCAGTTTTTAGCCCTAGCGAATACTTTTAATAAGCGCTACATTAATATGGGTGAACTTAACCAACTTGCAGAATTCATTAAAGTTTCGAACTCTTAATTATCAAGTTAAATTAATAGCAAAGTTGGTATTTACAATGTTGGTAGTGGTTTGCATAATACTTTCCAGTGTTTCTGAGGAGTTTAATAATTACATATACTTACTAATATTATAAAGCTGAAAAGTGTGTTCGGTTGAACGCGCTAATCTCAAAAACTATACTTTTAAAAAAATATGTTTGTGTTGGATAACCCATATAACTAGGAAGGCTTTAGGCTATTTATAATTACCCTACAGTCAATATGAGGCGGAGTAGTAAAGAAAAATGTTACAAAAACGGGACATATTATTCAAACTATTTTCACGCGTACGAAATAACGGGAACAACTAGTATAGTGATAAAATGAATACTTTAATAAAGATAACAAAAACTTATAATAGGTAATATGCATTGTAAATGAACCGTAATAATTATGTTTAGTACCTACCTACAGCACAGAATACATAATAGTAGCAACAGAAATTGCACTCCTTTGTGTAGGATCAGATGCCGGCATTTTATCGGTAATAATAATAATGCAAAATATCCAACGCACATGGTGCATTCGAAATCGCACCTTACCACTACGCTCACAAGAGCGCAATTTTTTTGTGTTCAGAATTGATCTACCTCTCAGCTCAAGCGTCAGGGTTGTATAAGCAAAGTAAAATAAATAAAAACCTAATTTTAAGAAGCATTTATTGTATTAACGATTGGTAAACTTTAATCTAGTGGTGTTTGTATAATCGTACCATCTCTAAAGTACCTATTAATAAACTTCAGTGTTGCGATAATTCGAAATTGGACAAACAGTTTTAAAATGTGTAGTATCGGAAAATAGACACGGTGAAGTAAAGTTAATGTTTTTATTAGCTAAAATAATTTATTTGCAACAGTTTTTTGTCATACGTATTTCAAAATTATTTAAAAAGAGTAGTTTTTTTTTAAATTATTTAAATCACTACAGTTAATTATTATTCCTAAATATTACGATTTTCCATTAAAGACAGTAACAGTGCTGTTGGAACAATAAACCTTGATTGCGACGATGATCGACCGAGCGTGTATAGAAATACGCGTGTGCTCACAGGCGCGTGGCGGCCCTGACTGATTTGCAACTTGAAGTTGTCGCGCGCTGTAGGTAATTATTTCGGCCGGCATAGGCGAGTGACGGAGGCCTGCCTACAGTAAATTACAGACATCGAAGTTTTTCATACTTTTCTCACCCAACGCACAAAAGGCCAAACCGTAGCAGCCGTACTTAAAATGCTTCAAGTAACAAATGGTGTGTTTTACATAGAATTTTTCAGGGAAAAACCTACCGGCGGCATCTTTTACAAACAGAGATAACGAATAGAATTTTATTTTCAAACAAAACAAAAAAGTAAAAGAAGAAACGAGGTTTAATTGGCTACTCTCGGCATCATTTCAGCTCCCATGAGAGTTGTGATACTTTGTGAAAATCAATCCCATTACAAGCTCTTGGGAAATCAGGAAGGGTTCAACATTAACATCAGAATGCTTGTATACCCCCATTCATCATATTTACGCCTTGTTTATGTTACTGCAAAGAAACACAGAGAAAACAATATTACTCGGTGGTTGATGAAACAATTTTCTACCTTCAAGTGTTAGGAGCAGAATGCCATAGAGATAGTTCTGAGGAAAATCATTATTATAGGAAAACAGTGTCTAATACAAATCCTATTTAACGAGATGCTGTACTTACTGTATTACACACTTTTTATTTGTGGTGCATTTTTTCGCATAAAGGTAGATCTCTATTGATTCAAAATTTTTATTAGATGAAGAAAAACAAAGTCAAAATAACAATTTAAAAAACTCACTAACAAAGCTCTTCACATGTTATAGAAAATAATCACTCGTAATTCACTGACACGTTTTCTTTAGCTCCATTGAATGTGGTACAGCTAGACGACAGCACATTAGGCTAAGCATGTTATTAATATAATTGTAATAGGTTTTATTTTTCAACAAAAATTTATAATCTGATGTCTGATCGACTGTAGGTACATGGTTGGTTAGTAGTGTTCGGGAAAGCGCAGGTCGGTCCCGCGCAGGTTGTCGTCGATCCACTGCTGCGCCTGCGCCGCCATCTGCTCGTCGAAGTGCTCGCGCCAGCCGCCCGCCTTGCCTGGAACGAGATTGAGCCTTATGATATGTTACAAAGAGTGGGTATTTGAAAGACAATAATTCACATTTTGTGGCATCTTTCATAACATTAACGCTCAACACGGTGAAACACAAAGGTCATTTCAGTCTAGGACAAGTTTGAAATCTGTCATGTTTCGTTTCCTATAGCATAAAGAAAAGCACATTTGGAACTCAAAAGTGAGTTGCAGTTTCCTGATTTTGTGTAGGTATCTCCGTCAATTTTTCTCTCTATTTGTGTAATCAGGCTTTCATCAAGGTAGCATCTCTGTAATTTTGTTTTTACTCGTAGCCTTCAATCTATCAGTTACTTCTAGCAAAGTACATCCTTAGATGAAATAACACGTCAACAAAAAGTACAATACTTAATAACTTTATTTCATTAGAGTACTAACCCTTTCGCATAAAAGACACGGTCTTTGCTACATTCTGGTCACTCAAGTGCATAAAGGGCTCATTGTTAACTGACTTATTCTTCTTAAAGTTGTCAAACTTGAGGTGTTCGCTGAGAGCCCTGACCTGCGCCTCGCTTGGCTCCTTTCCTAGAAAACGTGCTACGCGGCGAATGCTGCCGGGGAGGTCCTGAGAATAAACATTACTTTAAAATTAAATTGATTTTAAGTACTTTGGATGACCGGCACATGTGAGGAGTGTGACGAAAACTATACTGCTATTTGCTATAGAACTTCTAAGCCTTTGGGTAAGTATCTACACATCGATATCTAGCATCAGCAAAGCAGCGATCTTTTAGACATAGATTCCATAAATATTGCCTACTGATTGTTATTGATCACTTACAACTTTTATATTTTACCTTAATAAGATCTTCATAGAATAAAATAAGCAGGTTAGCGTGATGTCTCTGCCCCCAAACTTCTTTCAAGTGTTCAAAGTATGGACAATAATCCGCTGTAAATGTTCAATTACGTTAGTGTTACATACTATTACATTGTAATTTATAATTTTACGATAATTTGAAAATAATCAGCTAATACTTTTTATTAAGGTTTCAGATAAATCTAGACTGAATCGTGATACCCACCGTCACCCTTCACGAAAGACTCCCAGAACTGCTTAAAGTTACCGAAGTATCCAAAGAAGGCGAAGAGCTTGTAGTGGTAATAGTACGAGACGGCGACGTCCCGCGGGTCACGCGCCACGTAGACCACCCTCGAGGTGGCCAGCAGAGACGGGGGCAGCAGCGACAGAGGCAAGTGAGACTTGAAGAATCGAGGAGAGGGACGATCTGCAGCTAAATCCACCTCGGAACTTAAAAACACTTTTATATTCTCCTCTTTTCCAGCGCTCAATTCTTTAATTTTTTTCAATGCCTTATCGCCGTTGATGACATTGGCTCTAAAAAAGAATTACCTACTTTATCTATTCATATATACCTACACATGTTATCGTTTTTTATGTATCACTTTTCCCCAATAAATTGCTTTTAATTTCGTTTATCTATTTAATAAAAGCCTATAAATTACAAATTAATTTGTTATTTGAATATGCAGCCTTGTTCAATAAAACTTATCTTGGTACCTACTCACTCTAAAAATGGAAATCTGTTGATTAAAAGAACGTCCTTTGATGTTTCGTAATCAAAATCTTTTGCAATCATCCACACCATTTCTTGGACCCATGTAGTGCCTGCAAATTAAACCCGATTATCGAATTATGTAGTAGGTATTTGTTTTTTTCTAACTTCGTCAATATTCCATATTATATTCATAATGTTTTAAAGCAAAAACAGGTAAGGTACAAGCCGACGACGCAGTAGCAGCAGACGACGTGTCGCTGCGACGCACTGGTTTCTATGTACCTACTTCTATGAAATATCTTCAGACGACATGTCCCTAGACAATTTTGAGCGTGAGAAGGATGAATGTCATTGTTGGCCTATGAAATGCCATGGTTGGCGGATGGCATTTAATAGGTATGGTATTTTATAGAATTACAAAGAAACCAGTATCTTAACTTTTCAAGCATAAAATTGATAAACAGGGAGTTAAACAGGGAGTGACGAAATGTTCAAACGCAAAAGTCACGCTCCTCACCCGATCTAGGGAAAGACACTACCCAGATGTCATCCAGCCTGAGTGGCATATTGTATATTTTCGCTGCTTCTTTCCTATAGCCGCTCCGCAGGAAATAACCTTTGGGACCGACCCGCACATATCCATCAATGAAAGCTAAAAACAATCAAAAGATCTATTATGACGTTTATTATTTTACGAGTATCTGTCTTTTAGCTAACACAAAATTCCTCAAACCCTCCCAAGTTTGTCGTATTAGAAGACAATAAAAACTACATTAAAGGACACCACGTCCTATAACCTATAATGTAGTTTTTAGTTTTTATCCACTGGGATAAAAAGCATGATCAATTCACGCACCATAGATATGATTTCTTAACAATTTTTATATGTGTTTAGGCAAATATTTACCCGTATTGAAGGTTTTCTGTAACTCGGCGAATTCCTCAGGCTCCACATCATTTATAGCGTAAGGAAAATCACTGCTACTTGTACCGTGCATCATTTTGTATTTAGTTTCAAAATATTATGATGAAAACTACTTTAAAATAGGTAAGAGTTTTTAACTGAGAATGATAATTATCAAAGTACAAAACACGCACCGTTCTTGCCTCCTGTAACTAAGTGACTAATAAAATAGGTATATTAATGTATTTCTCAAACTGAAATATAACAGCAATTATTGTAAATTCAAATTGGAGTGACGAGAGGAGGAGGCATTTGTAAATTATCTTGTGAAAATTATCATATCTTAACCGTATTAGTGTTGGTTTCGTCATGGTAAACAGTCAAATATTTTTCGTATTCAAGGTTGTCTGAAAATGCAGAAAAAAATAAAGACATCTAATGAACCTTGAAAGTCAATTATTATGAATTTTGTATTTTTTAACTTTTTAATTTATTAATCTGATTTTTTAGCATGGAAATCTAAACAGTCAACGTAGATATTATCTAGTTCGAAAAAAGGTGTAAGTATGTAGATGTATCAAGTGGTCTACATAAGTAATGCAATACTATGTTTTCCAGCAAGGAAAAATTGAACCATTAAAAACTAAAATAAAAATCAGCTGTCATCAATCATTTTTAGACTCCAATGGTGCTATTGACCGATTGAAATTATATCCCAAGCAAATCAAAAGAGTGGATTGCTATTTCGCTAAATTAAATAAATGTGCCTATTAAAAACATGAAAAAGCTTTTATTGTCTTAAAATAAATATAAAACTTTGCAGACGCAAACATATCGTCTTCAAACTAATAACAGACTTCTATTATGTTGTTTTAACGAGTATTAAATGTAGACAATATTTAGTTGTCAATATTATTTGCTGAATGAATCTTTAGTAATGTATTCGCAATATTAGCTATTAAAATATTAGTCGCTATATCATCGCCATGTAGGAATTGTTCAAACTTATAACTAGCTAGAAGTAGCTATACTTTTTTTTTTACTTTTAATTTATTTATAACTAGCTTTCCGCCCGCGGCTTCGCCCGCGTGGAATTTTGTCTGTCACAGAAAAACTTTATCGCGCGCGTCCCTGTTTCAAAAACCGGGATAAAAACTATCCTATGTTCTTTCCCGGGACTCAAACTATCTCTATGCCAAATTTCATCAAAATCGGTTCCGAGGTTTAAGCGGGAAAGCGTAACAGACAGACAGACAGACAGACAGAGTTACTTTCGCATTTATAATATTAGTTGGGAAGTTGGGATAGTTGGGATTAAGGGAAAAGGAGATTAATGTGAATTAGAACGATGCAACGAACGAACTAACCCTGCAGGTAGGTCTTATTTTGCCGTAATATTTTTTACGTAACGTAAGTGCGCCTATTAACGACCCCCCAAAATTTGTATCCTATTACCGCCCTATTTTTCTTTCTTTCATAAAAGACATAATAACAGGTTCCAGAAAACACGTTACTTAAAAAATATCTAGATATGTTTATTGACTATCAAAACGATTAAAGTTTGTGTTCGTAAATAACCAGTAAACGGAGTTATTTCACATTAAATGGGACGCGCCCGCAACGGACGCACTTTTCATACTGACGCGCTCCCAGCTACTTAAGGTGCACCTTGTTATTAATTAGCGATTTTAACACATTTAAAATGAGTATACCAACATGTTTTTGCATAACAATATTAATTCGTACTTTAGTTTCCTTAATAAACCCTCAATATAGCCCTCTCGCTGTATTTATGTGGCTTAAATACAATTTTAAATAAGGGCGGTAATAGAAACACTTTTCATAATTTGGTTTCTAATACCGACCCATGGCGTTGTTAGAATTTTGATTAAGTTTCTTATTTTAGTATTTATATCTTTAATTACGCATTTAACCTCCACTTTGTTGTCTTGATCGATTCATAAGAATATTTCACATAATTAAATCAATTAACGCCATACATTAATTGTCATAGGTTTGGCATAAAACTGCAATGAACATTAAAGAATATCTCTAATAATGTATGACAATAGATTTTATAAAAACCTGTTAAATTCTAATTAGTACTTATTTGATATAAAATAAAACCTAATAGAAATGATACTTCACTGATCACGTCTTCGTTAAAGTAGATATTTTAGCTGGTTACTGTTTTTTTTTACGGTCGGTAATAGAATAAAGTAATATTCATACTTAATTCTATTACCGCCTCATAATTATAACGCCACCTGCGAAGACTTATAAGCCTGTCAGTACCTCTAGTACGAAAAACTTTCGAGTTCGTTTCGTTGCGTATTCAAAGTGTCATCGAAAAATTTTGTATGAAAAATTAAACAGCGCCCCCTATATTATAGCCGCCCTAGGGGGCGCTGTTTAATTTTTCATACAAAATTTTTCGATGACACTTTGAATACGCAACGAAACGAACTCGAAAGTTTTTCGTACTAGAGGTACTGTAGTATTACATTTTGTATTTATTTAGTTGCCGTCATGTAAGATTGACATGATAATTTCTTTCTTAATATTCTTATTAAAGAAACTTTTTATTAAAATTGTTTGTTATATTTTGAGATTTAATACAAAATGATGCACGGTACGAGTAGCAGTGATTTTCCTTACGCTATAAATGATGTGGAGCCTGAGGAATTCGCAGAGTTACAGAAAACCTTCAATACGAGTAAATATTTGCCTAAACACAATTGTAAAAATTATTATGGAATCATATTTATAGTGCATTAATTGATGTGACATCAAATAAGTTTTAGCGTTATATTGCATACATACATCTTTTTTATCCCAGTAGATAAAAACTAGAAATCTTTTGATTGTTTTAGCTTTCACAGATGGATATGTGCGGGTCGGTCCCAAAGGTTATTTCCTGAAAAGCGGCTATAGGAAAGAAGCAGCGAAAATATACAACATGCCACTCAGGCCGGATGACATCTGGGTAGTGACTTTCCCTAAATCGGGTGAGAAGCGTGACTTTTGGGTTTGAACTTTTTTTTTTTCACTCCCTGTTTACCTACTGACTGACAATTTTGAGCGTGAAAAGGTAGGATACTGGTTTGTTTCTGTTTGTTTCTATAAAATACCATACGCAGTTACTGCACCTTAGCAACACGCGTGACGAGCGCTCATCATTTGCACGTGGCCATAGAAATACAGAGAAACCAGTCTCTTGCATTTTCACGCTCACATTTTTTAACGACATGTAGTCTGAAGATGTTTCAGTGGAAGTACATAGAAACCAGTGCGTCGCGGCGACACGTCGCCTGCTGCTGTTGCGTGGTCGGCTACGGACTGTACCTTTAACTGTTTGTGCTGTAGAACATTATGAATTTACTATGGAATATTGTAGCAAATTGTTAGAAAAAAAATCTACATAAAGTCAAAGTCAAAGTCAAAATTTCTTTATTTGTTTGGACTAATAAATAGTTCTTACAAATCGTCATTTTGCTCTTAAGGAGCCTCTACATGTCTCATAATCTTTTTACCCTACTATACATAATACTACCTACATATTCGAATAACGGGTTTAATTTGCAGGCACTACATGGGTCCAAGAAATGGTGTGGATGGTTGCAAATGATTTTGACTACGAAACATCGAAGGCCGTTCTTTTAGTCAACAGATTTCCGTTTTTAGAGTGCGTAGTGCCAAGATATCGAACAGTTTTATTGAACTAAGCTGCATATTGAAGTAACAAATTAATTCGTAATTTATGTTTACGTAAACTTTTATGTTGTAGATAAACAATTATTTTCCTTTTTAGGAGAAATATCATCTACAACGATAAGGCACAGAAAAAAATAAAAGAAATGACCGCTGAAAAAGAGGAGAATATAAAAATGTTCTTAAATTCAGAGAACTATTTAGCTGCAGATCGTCCCTCTCCTCGTTTCTTCAAGTCTCACTTGCCTCTGTCGCTGCTGCCCCCGTCTCTGCTGGCCACCTCGAGGGTGGTGTACGTGGCGCGCGACCCGCGGGACGTCGCCGTCTCGTACTATTACCACTACAAGCTCTTCGCTTTCTATGGATACTTCGGTAACTTTAAGCAGTTCTGGGAATCTTTCGTGAAGGGTGACGGTGGGTATCACGATTCAGTGTAGATTTATCTGAAAAGTTCATAAAAAGGCTGATTGAAAAATTATATATTTCCAATGTAATAGTTTGTACCACAAAACGTTATTAAATAAACATTTACAGTGGATTTTAGTCCATACTTTGAACACCTGAAAGAAGTATGGGGGCAGAGACATCACGCTAACCTGCTTATTTTGTTCTATGAAGATCTTATTAAGGTAAATATGAAAGTTGTAAGTGATCAGTTACAATAAATTGGCAATATTTATGGAATCTATGTCTAAACGGATCGCTGCTTTTCTGATGCTAAATATCGATGTGTAGATACTTACCCAAAGGCTTAGAAGTTCTATAGCATAAGCAGTATAGTTTTCGTCACACTACTCACATTTGCGGGTCATCCAGAGTAACTACTTCAAATCAATTTTATTATTCTCAGGACCTGCCCGGCGGCATTCGCCGCGTAGCACGTTTTCTAGGAAAGGAGCCAAGCGAGGCGCAAGTCAGAGCTCTCAGCGAACACCTCAAGTTTGACAACTTCAAGAAGAATAAGTCAGTAAACTACGAGCCCTTAAAGGAAATGGGATGGGAAGACATGAATGTAGGAAAGACTGTGTCTTTTATACGAAAGGGTGAGTATCTAAGAATGAAATAAAGTTCTTCTAGGTACGTATTGTACTTTTTGTTGACGTGTTATTTCATCTAAATTACGTACTTTACTAGAATTAACTGATAGATAGATGGCTAATATGACCAAAAAGAAAATTAGACAGATGCTAACTATCTCGAGTGAAGAAAAATTGACGGAGATACCTACTTACATAAAATGAGGAAACTGCATCTTACTGAAACGAAATATCATGCAAATAGTTTGAAACAAGATGCATTTAAGCCTGGTAGATTTCAAACTAGTCTCTGACTAAAATAAGCTTAAATCTCTGCTTTACGTTTCACCTGTTGAGCGTTATTGTTATA